GGAAGGATGGAAGGCTGAGTCAACCCTGAGCCGGTGAGATTTGAACCGCTGCAGTAGCCTGCAGTGCTGCATTTAACCACTTATTGCTTTAGCTTTATTCTATTGAGTGTTTAACAGCACAAGATTTTAATGTTTTAGTTTCATCTTTACTACATTATAATTTAGCCACCTAGAGTGTAACTTTTGTAGACAAGCAAGATATACAATTAATAAATAAAAGCAACAAAAATAAGAATAGCAATAGACTTCATTCTAGTTTAGTGAGGAATTACATAGCAGGGACAAAACAAGTATGTGAAAGAAATCCACAATTAGCTGCCCTGACCAAAAGAATAGCCCCAACCTGATCTCCACTATTTTTACTGAACTATTGTTTCTGGAGTGGGCAGCTCTTAGATATTTTATTGCTTAATGTTTTTCAATGTGGTGATAAATATTTATTAAAATTGTACAGAGTACCATTCCTCAAAGTTTTGAAGTAGCATGCAATTTATTCTTGAAGGAGGATGTACCAACAACACTCCTGCCAGCACTTGTGGAAAAGTGATGGGCTATATATGCGATGTGTCCAGGGATGAGAAGGGAAATCGTAGGAGAAACATGCTAAGCATTTTGGAGATAGTGATAGTCTTAATAATTTGAAGAGAACTGCATATGCAAATTGATTTAATTGCAATATTAATACTGATGCAAGTAGTTTTATGTTCTCTGTTTCATGGTAAATTTACTCTGAGTCTTTCAAGTTGGAAGTGGCAAGGCCTTAATATATTGTTGGCAATGTTGTTTCCCAGATTTCCCGCAAATAAGGTAGCATACAGTTTCTAGTGGTCTCATTACCAAAACTATTATGCTTAAAAACATTTCTTTTCTATACTTCCCTTAAGGGAACCCCATGCTTTTCCAATGAGAATTAATTTAAGGAAACATAATAAGCCTTACTTTTTAAAAATGCTAAAAAAAAGTATTACTGAAAATATTTAGCATGCATGTAATAGCTGTATAAGGCACCCAAAAGGTTAGGTATAATTAATTCTTGGTCAGAATATTAGCAAATTTAGTCATTCATCAATTGTCCTGCCAGCTCATATCATACAAAATGAATGGCATTTGTGGCCTTTGGAAGCTCAGTTTGTTTGAAACTAATGAGATCATATTCTTACATATCAACTACACCGTCAAGATTTTATGAAATAAAGGATAAAGTCCTTTCTGCATCTGGGTTCCCTTTTGATGTGGGTGTTGCTACTGAGGGACTTCTAGCTGAACTGAATGTTTCAAGGAAACCAATTTACTCAGCTGGTTGCAAACCCTTTGACCTCAGAAGTAGAATTTGGAAAATCAATGAATGCATGAACTTTTTAGTGTTTGTCAAAAATTGCAAAAAACAAAGACTTCTTGACATTATAGTCCATAGATCCCTTTGTAAAATACTAGTTTGTATTTTCAAGTTTTGCCTATCCCCCTTTTTAAAAGCCAATGAAACCAAGTTAATTAAGCCTGAGGGGTTATGAACTGTTGGCAGTTAATAAGTCATAAAATTCCTCCATAAAACAGGATGCTAGATTCCATCACTGAGACAAGAAGTACAAAGGGCCGGTGTATAATATCTAATTGTACAAAAGGACTGGGATTTCTCAATGACTGCTCATCTGGAGTCTCAAGGGCATGCTCACTGTGGTTTCCTGATTTTTAGAAGCCAGTTTAAAAAATGAGTGTATTAAAGAGTAATTTGCTTGAAAGTTCAGGAAGTTTAGCGTGGTGAAGGGCGGGTGGAAAGGGGAGAGAAAAAGAGAAGGAAAGAATGAAAGAAGGAGGGAGAAACACTAAAACTGAGACACAGGAGAAAGAGAAGAAGAGAAAGCAAAGAACTCTCACCACATTGGCTTGGACATGATTGCATTTGTCATCTGTTTTCTTTCCCCTTTAGGATGTTCACCATGGCAACGGTACACAGCAGGCTTTTTATTCTGACCCCAGCATCCTGTATGTCTCCCTCCATCGCTATGATGAAGGCAACTTCTTCCCTGGCAGCGGAGCCCCAAATGAGGTTAGGTTTATTTCTTTACAACTCCATTTTTTATTTGTATCTTTTCAGGTAATTGCATTGCATGATTACCCCTAATTTTCTCATCCTACATTGGTGCTCTAAATTGCATTAGATTACCAAATGGCCCACTGGGAGTGGGGACAGGGTGGAACAAGTGCATAACCCAGAACAGTCCTTGTCAAGTGGGGCCAGGTTGATTTGACGTGCTGTTTGAAGTTGGTTTCAAAAGGACATTTTTGTGCATTTTCTTATTTTGATTCACTCTCTGCCTTTCCTCTCCATTTTCCCTCCGGCATTTCCCCCTCCTTCCCCCTCCTCCTCTTAGGTTGGAAGTGGCCCTGGTGAAGGTTATAATATAAATATTGCTTGGACAGGTGGCCTAGATCCCCCCATGGGAGATGTGGAGTACCTCACAGCATTCAGGTTGGTTCCTGTTTCTTTTTCAAAGTGCCAAATAGAAGTACAGGCTGAAATCTACCAGCGTTGGAATACAGCAGCCTTGACAATCAGAAAAATGACCCATGGTGGAACTGGCTTAAAGTAAACATCTCTTATTATATAGTATCTGGAGACCTCTTTTACTTTACTTTACAAAAAAAAACCAGTGGTAATATGCTGGCCACACACAAAATAGAATATGTTTATTTGTTGCCTGAAACAGATTGCTGGAGAAGTTTTGTCTCTCCCCCCCTGTAAACTGCTTAATAAGTTTTTTAAAAGCCAAGAAATGAATAGATCCACAGAAAAAACAGACACAGAGAATCAATTAATGTAAATACATTTTATTGCAGATTTTGGTGATTTTCCAGCAATTTACTTCATTATTACCACATTTGGAAATCTGTTCTTTCATAATAATAATACTACTAACCAATGCATTCATGGTATCTTCATAACCAGAACCATGCATGTTTCCTGGAAAAAGTGAAGAAATATTTTGCTATGTGATGGGACTGTATTTGGTATTTTGGCTATTGTTCCTTTAAAGTGCCTTTAGTCATCATGAGTGAGTTGGGTGGATATATATTATATATATTGTTTGTCACTATAGTTTTCTGGGATATTTTTGACCTTCAAACTAACCTGCAGCCTTCCTATTTCTGCAGTCTTCAATCCTAATACTAAACAGATTTTATATTGCTCAGGTTCCCAATCCAGATTAGATCAGCTGCCACTTGTTGAATACTAAGAAAAGGCATATGGAAGAAAATCTCTTTGATTTGCATTGACTATTATTTAAGATTGAAATGCCAGGATTTGAAAAGAAATAGATATAAAGATATAGATTGAAGAGATAGTTGGCTTTACTGATTGACAATCAGGTGCGAGTGTGAGTTTCTGCTTGTGAATTATATATTTCAGGAACTCGAAATATGAATTTAGTCACATATAAATCATTCCTCTGCATAGTGATCTGTATTTGTTTGGGGTCTCACAGAGTCTTGTTGGACAGGACCTCTCTCAGGCAACAGTGTGTTTAGTGTCAGCAAGATTTTGCTCTGTTTTCAATTAATACATTGCTGTGGATGTTATGAAAATGCTCTTCTAACATAGTTGAAAGTATTACTAAAAACATACATTTGGTAAATAGCATTTTGTTATTATTATAGTATATTTACTGCACTAAAATTAGGCAGTAACTCACATCTTATACAGACTTTCCTGCTAATCACAAAAAGTGGATCACAAGTATGCCTTACGTGATAATCTGGCAAGTGACTCCAGTATAAAGATAGTGCTCCTTTAATATCTATAGTGTTTCTCTTTTGGGCCCCAAATTAAGCACTAGGACTTATTTTCAGGAAAACATGATTTCAGGGTAATCAGCCCAAGTGTCCCACCCCCCAGCCCACACACAAGGGCTGGCAAGTGTAGGACCAATGGTATCTAGTAGTAATGCAGTCGCTGATCCCTTGGTTAGTGTACTCTGGAGCTGCCTGAGTGGAAGGCATGGAGCAGAAGGCAGGCGATCCTGCCATGCTGCATGGGCTGTAGGCAAGCCGAGAGACATGAAGATGAGCCTCCCGTGGTCACCTGCTGTTCCAGCCCACCACCACTTGGGTTTCCCATGGTCCACGTGACATGTCCAGATTGCTTCCCATACCACCTCTGCTTTTGTTCGCTGCTGATGTTACTGTGTGAAGATAATCCTCCTGCAGCTAGCTGCTGCTCTGGCCCACCCCTGCTTGACTTTCCCATAACCCATGTGGTGCATCCAGATTGCTTGTCTCTCCCGCCACCTCTGCTAGAATAGCCTATTTGCAGTCTTCCAGCCATGGATACCCAAAACATGAAAAACAGAGGATAGAGGATCTTTATGTAATCACGGAGGGGTCCAGGTTCATTGTAGTCACACTTCTTACCTCAACCTTTCAACAAAACTGTTGGACTGGGTAGGTACATTTCATAAAGTGTGTGTGTGTGTATATGCGCTGTTACTATGAATTTTATCAGTAGAAGTAGTTCTTTTTATTAAGCAGAAACTAAAAGTAGCTTGTTAGCTGATTGGCAGCTAATTTCTAGCAACTTCAACCATCTTTGATCACCTTACTTGAGTCCATTCTATTGGCCAATCAGTGCTAGCATTAAGGGACATAATAATGATAATGAAAGCAATGATGACATATCCTAGATTAGGATCTAGAAGTTGTACACTGAGGCAAATTTTACATATAACCACTTCTTCTACTTGTACTTCTTCAAATTTCTCCTTCTATCCCAACCAAAGGCTAGCTGCATCTTCCAATGCAGCATTCACATTGCTTTGTGACTAAGAACTCTTCCTGATGGAATCCTCTTAGCCAAACAAGAGTTTCAAGCCTTCAGATGGCATCTTCAACCACAACATGTATTCTTCTCTTACTCAGTTTGTTTACTAGCTGTATAAGCCCCTATGCCTAATACATAAAGGGGCTTATAAAGCAGGTAGATTTTGTATATTGTTCTCCACACTCCATGCTAACCTCCCAGTTATCTGTCAGAAGGCACTGCCAAATGGTTCATTTCATTATGCAGGAAATGGCAATTGAATGCTTCTCCCTCTTTTATGGGTCCCATTCATAGTTTTTTATGTATTTTACTAACTCTAAGAAGAATAGTGGTCATACACTTCCAAGGTGTCTTTGTTACCATCAATTCTTACAGACATCTCTCCAAAATATCCTCTTCCTTTTACAATGATGAATATTCTTTTCATCTGCTGATTTATTAAAGGCTTACTTTCATATAGTACAATTATTTATTAATATCCATTTCTCCATTTTATAAGGTATGAATTAATTTGAATCATGGTAGGTCAGGTTTGCTACATGATATTACACATGTCTGAACAATATATTGTTTTCTTCATCTATCTGCACAAGTGTTCCCTTTGGTGGTTATCTGGTGTCATCTTTGTGCTATATTTCACTTGATCCAAGGTTCTGAGACAACTATAAAAATTGTTTCTTATCCCTTCATATATTATACAGTTCAAATGGGTGACAATAATGCCACTAAGGGAGGCCTATTCCTTTCATTTCAGCAGATGTACAGTACATATTGAAAGATCTCTTACCCATGGTTTTTTCCAATGTACAAAAATGAATTCTTATCTTATCTTTAACAGTGCTGGCAACTACAAATTTTGTCTAATTTGCTTTTCTCCAAACGAGATTCTTAGAGATGTGATACTTCCACATTGTTCCACCAAGTTCAAATTGTAAAAAGTTCTACAACATCCCCCACATACATAATGGTGACTATCTCCATTGGTGATTGGCTACAAGCAGCTTGAGAAACTCAATACTCTTCTAAGATATGTTGCATTGGTTTCAGGAATTAAGAGGAATAATGGGAATTGCACCTAATCTTGCATGTCCACATGGGATGAAATATAGTAAATAATCCACTGGAGTTGGGAGGCTGATAAATTTAAATATATAAATAGGAAACTAATAAATTCTTAGGCCCTAGAAGAGATGGATGTATATGCATAAAACCCACGTGTGTGAATTCAACATTTAAGAAATCACCAAATTGTGGAAAGTTTGCTTTAAACATTTCCTGTTTGTGAGCCTCATTGCACTCCCAATTCTACATTCAAGGAAACAAATTGATTCTTTTCTTATGGTACAACAATATACCTCAGGTTTTGACTGATGCAATCCAGGTTCTTGATGCAGTCATACTTGTCAAAACTGGGCAAAATGGTCAGTTTAGGAATCTCAAGTTGAATTAGCCACAGTTAACTTTTCAACTTTTTCAACTAACAGTGAAACTCATAATTTTTGCTCTAACCACTGTCATAACTTATAGCTTCAAATGTTATATCTAATGCATACCTTCCTTGAATTACAAATATACCACAAAATCTATAAACCCAGCTTTCTCTCTCTCCCATCTCAATACTCTTGGGTGGTCTTTGAATACATGTTGAGATGGTTTTGCATTCAGACATAACACACCTGAAATTGACACTTAATGCCAAACATGGGGTGGTGAAAGGAAGCATGAAGTCACAATTTTGCACTGTTTCTGTGAAATGGGTTTGATCTTCTGTATGTCATTTGGCTATCATGGCAAACACCTAGTCAAAGATTCAATTTTTTAGAACTATGCTGTCAAAACTGGTAAATCTCAAATGCAAAACTCTAATACTTCCATTTATCCTTTGCCAAGATATTTGTATAGTTTTCAAAAGCATTTTTTTCAATGGATTGGTGTTGTTATTCAGCTTCTTTCACAACCTTTTTTTTAAAGTTTACAATCAGTTTCAAATATTGAATAAGGATATAATATTAAACATATTTGATTGAGTAAATATACAACCATGCCGCTATCAGAAAAGAGCTCATGCTTACTGATGATATATCACTGTAAGGAAACAGAATTATATTTTGAGGTAATTTAACACAGGCTATGAATTATTTATCTAGGATTACTTAAATGTTTATAGTATTTTGTTATCAAGGTTAAATGATATTTTATCTTTTTTCCAATACCTCAAAGTAGTTGAGAATGTCCAAAGTCACACAGTCACTGAAGGGAGATTTCAAATAATGGAAATGAAGTCTCTCTGCTATAGGACAATACTATACCATATTGGCTCTTGAATTGTGTACTGTTATTCTTCACACAGCACCTCTGTATAAAAATACATTCAGAACCTTTCTTATTTGTGGATAAGAAAATTACAGTGACGAGAACACAAATTAATCACATATGAATTCTAGGGGAGGAAACAATATGCTATTTATTCCTTTCTTCAAGAATCTGATCTCCCCTAAAAGTAGTTAATCCACTTTATTGCTCTCCCTGATTGCAACACCCCAATGTTCTTCCATGACAATGGAAAATATTCTTAGAAAAATCTGTGAGTATTTTTTGTGGAATAAAAGGATAGGGAAGAGTGAAGAAAACAAAGATCTCGTTTTTTCTGATAT